TTTTTTTTTCCTGCAACGAAGTCAATGACAAATTGTAACAAAGCAGTCGTGTAACACGTCGCCACATTATTTCATTTCGTTAAGTGGACACGGGCACAACGGCTTTGTGGCGCTCGTTAGGCAACCACTTGCCTGATTCAATTCGCAGGGAGGTTTTTGTCCGGGTTCTGTTCAAGTGTCTAGCTAGGTTGATTTGGTTATGGATGGAAGAGTAAATTTGAAGTCTTTGACGGTCTTCCGTAGATTATATTTGGAAGTGATAGAAAATCACAAGTACAACTTGAAATGACCTCGATAATGCCTTAGGATTATCTGAAGAACTAAAAAGTAGCTTTTACCCGCTACATCCGCTTCATGTTCTTCTACCACCCTATTTACAGCCGTTTCCTGCAAGTGTTCATGTGTGGCTACCGTAATTCGCCGCGATGTCGGGGGGCTGCTGCCAGGCGGCTTCGTGGCAGCCGCCCCGCCCCATGCTGGTTCCATTGGTGACACCCGGTCGCGCTCCTTGAGACCTTAAGCGGTACCGTACTCCTGGCGGACTACGGAGCCGTGATGAAGAACGAAGAGGACATTGACGAGCCACAACAGCCGCCACTGCAGTCAGGTAGCATTGAGAGTCAGAAGTTGGAGGCTATTGTGTGGACAACGCCAGCGGCTGCGATGGAAATAACTAATTCTAGCAGCCCGACGATTGATGTGCTGTCTGAGGTGAGCCCTTTAACTCAATCTAGCGTTAAAACGCCAACTATATTCTTAGAGCGTTGAGGTGTCCAGATACTTGTCTCTCAACTTTCTAATCATCTCTATAATATCCATAAGCTATATGCTTAGACTTCAGCTTCCCCTCTCTTTTTATCCCTTGGGCCATCACATTTTTTCAAACATCCTCTTCAAAATCCTCAAACTCGTTAGAGCATTTCAAATACTTATTGGTCTTCAGGACCTATTTGAAACTTATTACTGTAACGACTAGGAAAGCTGCAGGAAGCAAAGATTTGAATTAAAACATCAAATTTTGGGCTCAAACCTCAAGAAGAAAATTCCGCAATTCTCCTTTCCTTTTTTGAAGTGTCCAGCATGATATAGTCAAATTTCTTCGTTAGCAGGAAGAGAGACATGCTAAATGAATGTAGAAGCTCTTAAAAATGAGTATCTGTAAGCAACGTAGCATTTGTCTATCTAGACATGCCTTAAGAACTCTTTCTCCATATTCTTTTGCTCCTCTTCTTTCTTTAAGATAAGGCAAAACTCGTGTTTCTACTCGGCGATAAGAACTTGAAAAGCGTATGAATCAGCAGAATAAAATCGAATTTTCAAGAGTTTTTACTCTGTTTCCAAGCATGAGTACAGAGAATTTTCATTGGTTCTCATTAACGGCATCGTTTCTTTCGTATATTTTGAAAGAAGCTGCGGATTCTTTAATATTTAATGGCTGGTGCATTCT